CACACACACACACACACACACACACACTCTCTCTCTCTCTCTCTCTCATCTCTCTCCCTCTCGTCTCCCTGCCCACCCCCCCCCACCGCACACGTAGCAAACAACAGAAGAAGGGACAGTATGCCAGAGAGAAGCAAGCGAACAATCAGAGAGTCAACAGCGAGTTACAAGGGAAGGTGCTGGGCGTGGCTGCGAAGATGCGCAGCTCACGAGATCAATGCACTCGTGCTGTCATTGGTCGACATCACGCCGGGAGCCAATCATGCCTACAGTCATGTACAAAACCTTTGAGTCATTCAGCATTTTTTTTCTGAAAATATCACTTTTGGAAAAAAAAAAAAGATACCAAAGCTAAAACTACATTATGGTCTGCTACTCACAGCTCCGAGTTTCCTGAATGCAACAAACTTATAGCTGCTCTGTCATTGGCTATTACTTACCATCTTCCTGGCATTCCATTGGCTGAGAGGGACCTCTACCGTACGTGTCAATGTGTGTAGATAGATACAGTATGTGTTAATGCAGTGTCCTCGTCATTCGCCCATCAGGCCACGAGGCGCTCCGATAGTTTTACGTAAATGTGAATCACCCAGGAAAAGTGTTCACCAGTTGGGCTATCACTCACTATGCTGATATTTGCCTTTTTTGTTGCAAAACGCCAGGTAAAAACCATTTTTGAGAGAGAACATGAACTAAAAAGGGCAAAAAATGATGAGGATGCAGGTAAAAGTTAAATGACAATCATTTTTATTCTTTATTCTTTGTTTTTTACATTATGCACAACTCTCATTTATTGTGCCATAATCTAATTGTAACATGTATTTGTGACATATTTTGGTTTATTTTTATGCTTTAGAAAACATTTCTTTCTGAATTTTGGGGGGTTTAGAACAGATTAGGGCATTTACATAGAAAACTCGTCTCTACTTTCTATTTGAGAAATTTCTTCCAGAACCAATTAATTTCAAAAGTAGAGGCACCACTGTGTATGTGTGTGTGTGTGTATATATATATATATATATATACACACACACACACACACACACACACACACACACACACACACACACACACACACAGTATATACAGTATATATGTGTGTGTGTGTGTGTGTGTGTGTGCGCGCGCGCACAAACAGTGCAATTGCTTTATATTCTTGCTTTTCTATTGGGATTGAGAGCCACCCTAATAATTTCAACTGGAGTATTTTCTAATTCAGTTTTTTTTTCTTTCTTTCTTTCAATAAACAAACACTCCATATGGGTCGTTGCCGATACGAACACAGGACTGAGGTTGAAATGTTAAACTGCATAGCATGTTTTAAGATAATAGATTTGCATGATAAATAGTTTTTCTGATGTGCCTTTGTTCACTTTCAGGTCTGTCCAAGTGGGTACGCCAACTAGTCCAGCATCATGACACCTTCACCAGTGCCATGGAGTCCCTTGCTGCATTCTCTCAGGCACAAGAGAAGTGTTGCCTTTTCACAGACAGCCAGAACTCAATCATCTCTTTCTCAAGCAGCGCATCTGGAACCAAGGCATTACCAGGTTCACCCAAACCAGTGGAAACACAAATGAATACTGAACGACATGAATTACAAGGTTAGTCCAATTTAAATTTTCTTGATTTATAGATACAACCATTTTGTTTTGTAGATGTTTAACAATTCGCTTCCACCAGAAGAGCAACTACAAATGCCTATTACCCCTTACTGTCTATTTTAATAACTTGTGCAGTGTTTATTCATTGCCTCATAATCTTGTTCTTCAATGCATGTTTTGTATACAGTAGGTTTTAATCAGTGACGTGCGTTGAGATTCGCGACTGGTAAGGCACTCCCTCCCCAGACTGGTGTAGAAAAATGTGAAGACAAAACAGATTTGCTTTCTATACTTATGAGCTGCAATAAAACATGTCTCAAATAAGGTCAAAATTGAATTTTTGAATGTTGCTTTTGAAAGCTTAAATTGTTTGAAATTGATTTCACACTGGTTCACAACGTGGTGGCAACAAAAGCTAAATATTTAACATAAGCCCAAGTTTGCTGGTTTTTAGGGAGATCTCCAAGTAAAAAAAATACAATTTGATCCAGTGTTAATTTCGGTGACTCAATATGTTCGTCACCCTTTTTTTTTTTTTTTTTTTAAATGAAAATAAAATAGAAGTCAGTTGTCGATACGATAACTAAATTGATTGACAATTTCATCAACAAATACAAGACGAACGATTCATCGCAGTGACGAAGCGCAATCAGGAAGAGGACTCGGGTTGGGAAAAAAAAGAACCATTCCGAACACAGGATGCAGACAGCCCGTCAGTTGATCGTTCATGTTTGTCAAGGCTTCTTGGCAAGTTTTTCAAGTCACACAATCCCGTATGGTGCACACTGTCTCAAACTCATTGAGAATAAAAGGCAGGTAAAGCAGAAAATACGTTATTATAGCACAGCCACAGAGCCAAACTTTACGTGTATACCATTGCATTTGAAAAGAACAAGTAGTTCACTATCTTTTCCCGACTCCCGTCGTTTGAAGCAAACCTGGTAGTTCTGGCATTGGTCTCCCAGTATTCATTATTTCCTGCTTTGTTTGAGAGTCCAGCTTTGAAATTAAATCCTCCATTTTCAGGGCAAGAAATAACAGCCTGTAGAGTCGCATAGCACACTTCTCTTTTTTGCACACGGGTTAGAGTTCACCGTGACCTGGCTGGTGGCAGCCTATCAGGCTGCTAACTACCGCCACCTTCCTTGAGGCAGAGGTACTGGCTGCCTCAAGGCAAGCAATGTTCCTGTGGATTTATGTCATATCGGCTGTCCATGCCTCACCTCTCGTATCCGAAGGAGATTACATTTATTTCAGCAGGAAATAAAGACGTTTCTGTGTTTTTTACTATAAAAATGGTCAAAATAGATTAATAACCACACCAAAATCATAGTCCAGAGGACAGATATTAATACTTATTTTATGACTTAGTTTCTTTTTCCTCTCATGATAACAAGGGAGACACAGTGTCACTTGCCTCCCCTGAATGCACGTCACTGATTCAGTTGGAAAGATTTTTGAATGTGTAGTAGGTCGTGAATAAACACCTGAACTGTTTTTCATCGTTCTACATACAGTAAATGAAAATCTGCTTTCTCAAGTTGATGCAGAGTTGACATCACAAGCAGTTATCCAGATACTTGATACACAAGCCTTTCATCATGACATGTAAAGTGACATGCTTGCACTGTGCTCCGGTGACTACTTATTGCTTTGGATCAAAACAAGGTTGAATTGTTTGCCCAGTTAAATTCAGATTAGTGGAGAGAGGTGGTTGAAGAGTAAATACAGACACCCTTTTACCATGGAGCCACGCTTGGAGGCTGTGTGGCCCGCGATCAGTTGACTGGTTCATTAATCATTATTGGAAGGTATTTTGTGTGCCTGGGTGGGACTACAACAGACGTTGGACATTGCTTTTAATTAAATCGCCTTGAGCTTTGTTCGAGTTATATCAAGCATTGGAACATATTTATTCCATCCATTGTTTAAAAAAAAAAAATGCCTGTATTGGTTTTCTTCGGTAATTTGACTTTGAGATGTGTGGTGTATTCACTTAATTTCCCTTTCATAGTATGTCATATTTAGTATGTTTTCTAAAAATATGTCAATGTGTTTGTCGTTGGTGAAGAAAATAACTTTGTTTTTTTTTTTTTTTTTGTTGTAGAATGGCAGAGGATGACACACATTCCACCTTCAGCGCCACTTTTACACACTCCAGCTGACAGTCCGAACCTCATTTTAAGCTCTGGTAATCATTTAAAAGAAGTTTGGAAAAAGAGAGCATTTGGAAACGTTTCATTTTCCTGTCTTTGCAGAGAAACAACAAATTCTTTCTCTCCAAAAGAAGACGGAGAATTCTGTACTTGAATCATCAGCTGCAGTTAGATTGACATCACGAGCACCCCAGTCAAACACGGATCGTGAATTGACTCCAACAGACAATCAAGATGAAAACAAAGATGGCAAGACTGCCCTTTTAACCCTTGGAATTTTTAAAGTGGAAGCAGAGGAAGCCAATGCCTGTGTTGAGATCGATTCACCATCCCGGATAAGTTTTGAAGCAGAGCATCAAGACCTACACTCACAGGATCTTTTTGGATCTGAGGTCGCCCAAGATTCTCCCTTTGATGAAGAGAGCATGATTTCAGTTGACACAGAAAACATAGAGGACAGAGGGGAGACAAAAGTTGCAGGAGAACATGTGAGAAACAAGATCAGGCTGTCAAGATCCAGACAGAGAGCTCACCTTTCTCCAATGAAGAAATAATAGCCTCAGATCAACAAATAAGTACTGATGCAAATGCATCTTAAATTGTATTTTTTTCTTTTTGCGTATTATTCATTATAAAATGTTTTAATACACAATAAAGTAAACATTTAACATTCATCAGTACCTTTCTTATAAGCTTCCAGCACATGCACGACAGTCATCCCCAGCCTACAGTGTAAAAAAATATTTTGAAGAGTGGTAAAAACAACCCATGAAAATCAAATAGGTTTAACCTGATTATTTTAGGTAGAAAATGAATTGTAAAAAAGGGTAACAAATACCAGGAACAAGCGTTACCCAGAACATTTTAGCAAAATACTCCGACACTTAAAAAAACGAGGTTCGTATACTCGGAGCTTCTTTTGATGGCTGCTGCTTCCTTTTGCGATGATCAGCCACTCAATCTTCCCTTTCCTTCTTTGTGGAAGATTTTCTTCCCCAAAAGCAATAATCAAGGTTAATTGTTTTGATTTGTACATCGCTACTGTCTCCTAATTCCACAACTTTTCCCCTGCATCCTTTCACCTATACTTCTTCTGCAGCATGATCCTGGCTGATCGCTTACACCTGCTGCCACCTGCTGGACATATTTTAAATGATTTACAATGCTGACAAGCCTTATCCTGAGTCAAAAGTAGCGTCAGACCCTTCAGCACACAATGATGCAAAGAAGAAATAAATCGCAAAATACATATAAATACGTCGTGGGTAGGCAACCGTAGTGGTTTTTCAGACACATCTATATGTCACAGGGAATGAAAGAGTTAATTCATGACTGTTGTCACGATTCAACACTCAAACTTTTTTTTTTAATCTAGCCTTTCTTACTCAGAAAAAAAAAAAATTGTGTTCAACTTTTAGTTCGAAGATACGACAAGGTTGCGCAAAAGCCCTGTGGTAAGTCAAAAATTGTCTCCAGGAAGCATATTGAAGTGATACTTCTCGACTGAGAGACGATCTTTGTCCGTGAGGGAACTTAAGGTGCATTTTTTTCAAAATCTTGTACATGCTACTTATTGTCAGATTTATTTGCACAATGAGTTTGCAAAGACATGAAACTGTTCTGGGATCATAGTTTGTGGTGTACACCTGTGAGCATTCTCATTCATTCACGTCATTTTATTCTCAAGGCATTGAATGGAATGCAACTTGATTGTTCTGGTTGTCTTTGAATATGATCTGCCTTTCATGCAAGCAGGTGTGAAAAATTCTGGTGGTCAGACAGCTGGTCAGGATAGCACCAACCTGAGTTGGTGTGGAAAACTCAACTATTTATGCTTCAAGTTCGATGCACTACTCACAACAAATGTTATCATTCTTTTGGAATGCAAAACTACAACCTTTGCAGAGGTGTCTCTTGTTACAATATGTACCCTGTGTAATTAAAAAAACAATTGAATAATAAAGCATTTCACCATGCGACATGATAGGCAGCTTGGCAGCTTTTTTTGCACGTTTTATACTCCGTGAGCCATCACCTTACGGTGGTGGAGGGGTTTTTGTGTCCCAATGATCCTAGGAACTAAGTTGTCTCGGGCTTTATACCCCTGGTAGGGTCACCCATGGCAAACAGAACCGATGCGAAGAACCAAACAAAACATGGCTCAGAAGAACCCTTAGGATAAATGACATAGATCAGGGGTGTTCAAAGTTGGTCCTCAAGGGCCGCTGTCCTGCCAGTTTTCTAGCTCTCCCAGGAGCAACATACCTAATTCAAATAATCGGGATCGTTCTAATGCTGCTTCAGAGCTGGCTGATGAGCTGATCATCTGAATCAAGTGTGTTGCAGCCGGGAGAGCTGGAAAACAGGCAGGACAGTGGTCCTCCAGGCCCAGAGCTGGACATGCCTGAAGATGGATTTGTAATTCCTTGCCCGGACGCAGGTCACTGGAGTGCCCCTCTGGAACCAGACCTGGAGGTGGGGCTTGCCCGCAAGCGCCTGGTGGCCGTGCCTGCACTCATTGGGCCCGGCTGGGCTCAGCCCGTAGAAGCAATGTGAGTCTCCTTTCCTATTAGCTCACCACCTGTGGGAGGGGTCAAAGGGGTCGCGTGCTTTATGAGCTGGGCACCAGCTTGAGCGTCCTATTCCCGGCTACAGAAGCTAAACTCTCAGGACATTAATTGTCTCCTCTCTCACAGGGACGGAGCCCGAGCTGGTGTCTGAGGCAGAGACTTGACATAATCAGACTTTCCTCCACACACAGCCTGGGCCCTGGTACCAGTTCTCTTGAGAGGGGTCGGACTCTCTTCTCATTACTTACATTACATTACTTCTCTTACTCATTGCCCCCCAACTCAGTGCCTGTATATTGGGGTTCACACCAGTGGATGAATGGGGAGCCTTCCTCCGCCTTCTGGGAGGGGGGACGTGTTCTGACTGTTGTTTGTGCCTGTGCAACAAACAGCAGCTCAGAGTACCCACCCTATTTGGAGTCTGGGGACTCCCTCGTTCTGCTGGGGGAGTTCAATGTTCACGCATGCAATGACAGTGAGACCTGGAAGGGTGTGATTGGCAGGCCCCCCCGATCAGAACTCGAGTGGTGTTCTGTTATGGGACGTCCGTGCTCATCAGGGGTTGTCCATCACGAACACCATCTTCAAACACAAGCGTGTCCATATGTTGGTTTGGCTCCAGGACACCTTTGTCCGCAGTTCGATGATTGACTTTATCGTCATATCATCGGTTCTGCGGCAAACACGTGTTGGATACTAGGGTCAAGAGAGGGGCGGAGCTTTCAACTGATCACCACCTACTGGTGAGTTGGCTTCGATGGTGGGAAAAGATGCTGGTCCGACCTGGCAGAACCAAATGTAGAACTAAGTTGTCTCGGGCTTTATACCCCTGGTAGGGTCACCCATGGCAAACAGAACCGATGCGAAGAACCAAACAAAACATGGCTCAGAAGAACCCTTAGGATAAATGACATAGATCAGGGGTGTTCAAAGTTGGTCCTCAAGGGCCGCTGTCCTGCCAGTTTTCTAGCTCTCCCAGGAGCAACATACCTAATTCAAATAATCGGGATCGTTCTAATGCTGCTTCAGAGCTGGCTGATGAGCTGATCATCTGAATCAAGTGTGTTGCAGCCGGGAGAGCTGGAAAACAGGCAGGACAGTGGTCCTCCAGGCCCAGAGCTGGACATGCCTGAAGATGGATTTGTAATTCCTTGCCCGGACGCAGGTCACTGGAGTGCCCCTCTGGAACCAGACCTGGAGGTGGGGCTTGCCCGCAAGCGCCTGGTGGCCGTGCCTGCACTCATTGGGCCCGGCTGGGCTCAGCCCGTAGAAGCAATGTGAGTCTCCTTTCCTATTAGCTCACCACCTGTGGGAGGGGTCAAAGGGGTCGCGTGCTTTATGAGCTGGGCACCAGCTTGAGCGTCCTATTCCCGGCTACAGAAGCTAAACTCTCAGGACATTAATTGTCTCCTCTCTCACAGGGACGGAGCCCGAGCTGGTGTCTGAGGCAGAGACTTGACATAATCAGACTTTCCTCCACACACAGCCTGGGCCCTGGTACCAGTTCTCTTGAGAGGGGTCGGACTCTCTTCTCATTACTTACATTACATTACTTCTCTTACTCATTGCCCCCCAACTCAGTGCCTGTATATTGGGGTTCACACCAGTGGATGAATGGGGAGCCTTCCTCCGCCTTCTGGGAGGGGGGACGTGTTCTGACTGTTGTTTGTGCCTGTGCAACAAACAGCAGCTCAGAGTACCCACCCTATTTGGAGTCTGGGGACTCCCTCGTTCTGCTGGGGGAGTTCAATGTTCACGCATGCAATGACAGTGAGACCTGGAAGGGTGTGATTGGCAGGCCCCCCCGATCAGAACTCGAGTGGTGTTCTGTTATGGGACGTCCGTGCTCATCAGGGGTTGTCCATCACGAACACCATCTTCAAACACAAGCGTGTCCATATGTTGGTTTGGCTCCAGGACACCTTTGTCCGCAGTTCGATGATTGACTTTATCGTCATATCATCGGTTCTGCGGCAAACACGTGTTGGATACTAGGGTCAAGAGAGGGGCGGAGCTTTCAACTGATCACCACCTACTGGTGAGTTGGCTTCGATGGTGGGAAAAGATGCTGGTCCGACCTGGCAGAACCAAATGTATTGTGCTGGAGCATCTGGCAGAAACACCATGTCAGAAAGAGTTTCGACTATCAGCTCCAGCAGAGCTTTGCCCACATCCCCGGGGTAGTGGGAACATTGAGTCCAGGTGGACCATGTTCCACACATTTGTTGTTGAGGAGGCCGATCGGAGTTGTGGTCCTCAGTTGGTCAGTGCCTGTCGTGGCGGGAACCCCCCGAGCCCTTTGGTGGACACCGGCGATAAGTCAAGCTGAAGAAGGATTCCTATCAGCCCTTTTTGGCCTGTAGGACTCCGAAGGCAGCCGACAGTTATTGTTTGACCAAGAGAAACGCCGCTTACGCAGTTGCCAAGGCAATAACTCGGGCGGGGGAGTTCAACAAAGCCAAGGAAACCGACTTCCAGATGGCTTTGAGGACATTCTGGTCAACCATCCGATGTCTCAGGCAGGGGGAGCCGTACACAATTATCACTGTGAATAGTGAGCATGGGGCACTGCTCATCTTGATTAGGGACGTTGTGAATGGGTGGGCAGAATACTTTGAAGATCTCCTCAACTCCACCAACACGCCTTCCTTAGAGGTAGCAGAGTTTGGGGACTCTGAGGTGGGCTCTCTGGGGTTGAAGTCACCAAGGTGGTAAAAAAGCTCCTCGATGAAAAAGCCCCAATTGTGGATGAGATCCGCACGGAGTTTCTCAAGGCTCTGGATCTTGTGGGGCTCTCCTGGTTGACACGTCTCTGCAACATTGCGTTGGGGACAGAGTCTCTTAATTGGCAGACAGGGGTGGAAGTCCCTCTTTTTAAGAAGGGGGACACGAAGGGGTATGTTCTGATGACAGAGGGATCACACTCCTCAGCCTCCATGATAAGGTCTATTCGGAGGTGTTGGAGAGGAGGGTCTGTCTGGAAGTAGAGTCTCAAATTCAGGAGGAGCAGTTTGTTTTTTGTCTGATCCGTGGAACAATGGACCGCCCCTACATCCTGAGCAGGGTCCTCGAGGGTGCATGGGAGTTCATCCAACCAGTCTGTGTTTTGTGGACTTGGAGAAGGCGTTCGACTATGTCTCTTGGGGAGTTCTGTGGGTGGTGCTGTGGGAGTGTGGGGTAGCGAACCCCCTGATACGGGCTGTTCAGTCCCTAGACCACCGATTTCAGAATTTGGTTCGCATTGCAGGCACTAGGTCAGATTCATTTCCAGTGACAGTTGGCCTCCTCCAAGGCTGCCCTTTGTCACCGATTCTGTTTATAACCTCTCGACAGAATTTCTAGGTGCAGCCGAGGCATTGAGGAGGTCCGGTTTGGTGGCCTCAGTATAGCATCTCTGCTTATTGCAAATGATGTGATGCTATTGGCTTCTTCAAGTCTCGGTCTCCAACTTTCACTAGAGATATTCCGAGCATTTGTGTGAAGCGTTTGGGATGAAAATCTACACCTACAAATCTGTCCCTCAGTTGGAAAAGAGTGGAGTGCCCTCTCTGGGTCGGGGCTGAGATCTTGCTCCAAGTGGAAGGTGCTAAATGGATTTGGGTGTTGTTTACAAGGGAGGGCAGAATGGAGCGGGAGACTGACAGGCACATCGATGCAGCATCCGTTGTGATGCAAACTTTGTATCAGTCTGTCGTGGTGAAAAAAGAGCGAAGCTCTCAATCTACATTCCAACCCTCACATATGGTCATGATCTATGGGTCGTGACAGAAAAAACGAGCTCCCGGATACAAGTGGCTGAAAGGAGTTTCTTCCGCAGGTTGTCTGGGCTCTCCCTTTGAGATAAGGTCAGAAGCTGGGTTATCCGGGAGGGTTCAGACTGGAGCTACTTCACCTCCACGTCAAGAGGAGCTAAATGAGGTGGCTCGGGCATCTGGTTAGGATGCCTCCTGGATGCCACCCTGGTGAGGTGTTCCGTGCACGTTCCACCGGCAGGAGGCCCCGGGGATGACCCAGGACCCGCTGCAGAAACTAATTCTCCCGGCTTGGGATCCACCGGGAAGAAATGGCTAGGGAGAGGGAAGACGGGGCTTCCTTATTAAAGCGGTACAATTTAATGGATGCATAGATACAGATATTTTTTAATGGTGGCATGCTGAAATCTCAAATACCTTGATTCAAGCTGCACCTGCGTACACCAACACAAGGTTGGTGCAATAAATACTTGTCAATAACAAATATGGAAGGCATTACTTATTAACACTTATGGTTATATAGTATTGATTATGTTGTGCTATTGCACAGTAGCATTCCCACAGTAGGGTTCTTGACAAAATATAAAATGTATGTGAATTTGGACAAATTGTTGTGAAAGTGAATGTCTATAGGTTGGCAGCTCCGGACATGAATAGTTCTT